CGAGAGATGCCGCAAGGTGTCGGCCAGCCGAGGGCGGGAGATCTTCAGGATAAAGACGCGCGCGGCGCCGGAAGGAAGCCCTCGAGAGATTGCGGCCGAACCGAAATTCCCGCAATTCGGTGCCCCACCGTAATGTTGAAACGCGTTAACGTTGTCAACAGTGTCGGAACTTTAACAAACATGGCCTTATCGAACACAGCCAAACTGCGACGCGATGGTAACGAGGCTTTACAATTATTTTCATTTAATAAAACACCTTTTTTACATTCGTACATAAATGAACAATAATATAAATAATGTCAAATATATTTATATTAATTGTTAAAGTGTGAATTATATAATATTTTATACGATAGAGACGTGAAAAACGGTTAATTAAACGTTAATTCAAAATTTGTGAAATTGCGATGAAATACTGAAATTTGAAAAAATTGAATATTTTTTAACTCAAAGTGCCATGCAGCTGTCTTTCTATTTCCTTGTTGCAAATGAAATGAAAGTGGAATGGGGCCGTTGAGTGAAGGTTAATTCTATCTCTCTTGTGAAGCGATGCCTTTGGATAAGAGACTTTTAATAACCTTGTACTAAGAATCGCGATATACACAGTTTGGAGGGGAAAGTGTAAGGTGTTGGTGACCTAAGGCGGGAAATCTCGTGATAAAGGAGTCGAGGAGAAGGAAACTCGAGAGTGCACTCGGGAGGAACGACACCTTGCGCAACCGGGTGAGCAAAGTAGTTTAATCGATACTGTCGAGTGGACATTTAAACACGTTCGATGTAAACAACTGCGTCTCGTTAATGTTTAGTTTCGGTATAACCCTTTCGTTGTGAGAGATTTCGACGCACACACTGCAGGCGGTAGATGTTCAGCAAGGACTGTTGTGGATAACCATAGTAACTTCTTACTAGCGTATATTCTTTGTAGAAATTGTTGAAATGCTGAATGTTTTACAATAAAAAAAAACATCTTAATTAATTTCTATTTTTTACTCAAACATTAAACATAAAATATGAAGCATAAATAATATTTAATTGCTAGCAGTCGTTGATGAAATAAGTATCGATTGCCTATAGGCGCCAACAGCAATGAAAATGTTAAGCTATTTAGCTATAGAGATATATATCGGTAGATATTTTACAGCGACATATTTTTTTCGGACTTTTAATAAGTTTGACCGCGATCATGATTGACCGTACCCTCGTCATATATACGATTAACTTTTCGTCAGCTCAAATTTAATTCCACATCCAATTTGAAACTCCGTTCGAGGGGTGGAGCGTGTGACGAGCGTATGATAGATTGGCTATCGTTGTTTTGCAGTTTCTCGACACTTTGCCGCTCTCGGAAACGAATCCGAAACGTATCCGAGAGCCATATGGCATCCCGAGCGCGTGGCAAAATCCTTGACGGCATCTTCCAATTTTTGTCGTTTATAACGAAATCATACCGTGCATTGTACACGCATTTCAAGATATATTTCAGGGAAATTAAAATAATTTTCTATAGTTAAAATATGTGCACATATGTGTGACATATTGATATTAAAAGAGAACGTGTGCAAAACGTTACGTAACATATTGACATAATAATCAGGTTTACAGAATTTTATTCAATTTAATGGCTACAAAAATATATTTAATATTTCTATAAATATGCGCGATAAACAATTATATACACCGAGTTGAAACGTCTCGTCCCGTATTCGTGACGTTTGAAATGGTATTATTTATTTAGGCGCTCACTTTCCAAAATTCTTTGCAATGAAAGGTGTAAGAGCTTCTGATCGAAAGTTTAGATATTGTAGAAATATATTGATAATATGTCTTCTCATTTCTATTCTCATTGCTCGATTCTATTATCAATTCGTGACGAAATAAACACAGTCATGACAGTAAGACAGAAAATCTATATGGATTACAAAGATGAAGAAGGTAGAGAAGCGTCTGGAAAATTCAAGCCTTCAGGCGAAATGATAGATAGTACCAAGAAAATTACGTCCTGTAATTGCGATGTAGCTTTGCGAACCAACATCAAACCCGCAGAATTAGGTGTATACCTTTCAGCAATCATTCGGCGTCGATACTATAAGTATCTAATAGGAAACAATTGCTTCAAGAGTCGTATTACACAAAGAATTGTTAATATTGCGAGATATTACGACTGGACGACGGTGGTAAGGTACGAAGAGACGACCGTGATGCCCTTAGTATTCTACTAACATAAGTAAAATGGATTTCTTTGACGGGCACAACTACAGAGTCAACAAAATTCTGTTGTTGGCAATCGGCCAATGGCCTTACCAATCGTCCAGGACGAGCCACGCAATAGTCATCGTCATAGTAACGATATTTTCCACGCAATTTCTCACCAAGGTACGACGACGACTAGTACCCTGTCAACGTTTATTTCGAGGAAATAAATTTACATCTTCATGATGTTACATGTTAAAGTAAACGAGTCGTATCAAGGATTTAATTTTTTTTTCGCATAACTGTGCAGTAAATAATTAGAATTAATTCATTCAAGCTATGTGGTATTATCTCCTACATTCACGATATGGACATCGTGATCGAGTGTCTCGTTCCGATAATGGTTGATTTGTCAGGTATATCGAAAATAATGAATTCCATACTGTACGTGAATGAGGTACGTGCGATTATTTTTTTTCTCTCTATCTCGGGATGATTAACTTCATTCGTTCTGACGTAATAAAAACCCTCCGCTCGCGAATTGTTTCCATGTCAATTTACGAAACGTACCGTCAGACATTTAAAGCAAAAAAACGAACACAATTCGAACTTAAGGCTAATCTATGTATTTATAGATAAGGACATTGCTCGATCGAATACGAGATGATTTTTATTCATTGAGAAAGTCCAATGACGTAGAGATTCTTGAAAAATATGCCGATAATGGCAAAAAATCCTCGAATATTTACATTTGTGAGTAAATTAATCGCTCAATTAATTTAGTTGCTTGTACGCATCTTCAAAGAACGCATCTTTCTTTAGGTGTGATGTTCATACTAACGATAGTATTTATGTTGATGCCCTTCCAACCGTTAATCCTTCAAGTCGCCAACGCCACGACTCGGCCCTTGTTGCACAAAGTCGAGTATTACGTTGACATGGACAAGTATTATTTCCCAATTTTGATTCACGGATATCTCACCGTTGTAATTTGCGTCACGTCCATCGTCGCGGCCGACGCGTTATTTGTCATATTTGTGCAACACGCATGCGGGCTGTTTATCGTAACTGGGTGAGTAACAGCGTCTCTCACGGGAAGAGTGGCTCTTTTCTCCCTTATCTTATTGTTATGTCTTTGAAGCTCGCGAATAGAGCAAGCGATACAGGAGGTGTACCTGACCGGAGACGTCAATCCCCCAATAAAAGATACGACATATCGAAATATAATACAGTGCGTTCACAACCACAAAACAGCTATAAGGTTTGTGTTTCGTTTGCATCTTGATCGTTGTAATCCGAGCGCGGAGATATCTAAACGTTTCTGTTTGTTTTGGATTAAAAATAAATTCAAACAGTTTTATGCGAGTATAGGATTTTTCACTAATTGTAAACGGAAATGGATTGAAATTTCAAATCATGGATTAAAATAAATTGAAATGGATTGGCCTTCGTGGAAATGAATACATTTCTATAAAGGCCAATCCATTTCAATCCATGGTTTAGAAAATTTCAATCCATTTTAATAAAAAAAAAAAATATTTTAATCCATTTCTGTTTACTGGGTTAGTTGTTTTATTTTGCGGTATCACGCGACATGTTATTCACTTTCAATTAAATATATTTGAATCAGGTTTGCCAATCTCATGGAAATGGCGTATTCCAAACACTTTCTGTTCCAAACCGGGCTGAATATGATACTTATAAGCGTTACGGGCGTCGGGGTATGTGTATTTTATATTATTCTGTATGCTAATTGCAATAATAACGACGTTTGACGAGTATTGTTAATCAGCTGCTTTGGTAATGCATTAATAGATGAACAATCACAAATAATTAGTTTCGAGAATTTAGGATTTATATATATAAACATTGATTTAAGAAAGGTATAAGATAGCGAGATAGATGTGATCGTGGCGCGAGAGCTACGCGTCTGCTTTCTGTGCCAAAGACTCAAGTTCAAATTTACTCAGAACGTATCAGATTGTTTTCGATCACCTCTCGAAAGGCAATGGCAAACTATTGGGAGTTATATTATTCCTGAAACAAGTCATTATAGAAATGGAGCAGGATTGTTATGGACATTCGTGCGCTCCCAAATAATCGCATAAAATGGAGATCACGACCTTCAGTCATGAACGACTGACTTGAGAAAATTCAAAATGAGTAACAATGACATCAGACGTTCAGCTTACTTTAAGATAGTAAATGAAGACTATGCTATGAGAAAGTCGAAACGTTCCATATTGTTATTATTTATTTTGAACAAAATGTAGTAATCTAACATTATAATTTTTTAATTTTTTTTTACTATATTTTATTTATTTTCCAAAAACTCCACGTAACATAAGCTCTCGTACTATCATTGTTTGATTATGCCGTGCCATACCTCAGCCAATCTCTACTTAACAGAGTTAAACATTTTTCATGCTCGGTATGTTATTTATTATCACTGCTCTTTACAATAGAATTCTTTGGACTTATACTAATTATTATATAGTCATTTGGCGAAGATCTGATATCTTTCTGCATATTAAGTATAATTTATTAATTAATTTATTCACTTAAATATAATTTATTTAACTTATTTATATGATAAATTTAATATACTCGGTTAGAAATCGAACCAGCATTTAGTTGCATCCTTGTCTTTTGTCTGCA